CTAAATAGTTTTTTGAAAATCAAATTCAACCTAGTAGCTAAAAAAAACATACTTTTCACTTAGGAAATAAAGTGTGCCTTCTAAAATCTAAGCCCTAATAGGAAAAACACAGATTAATATTTTTGACACTAGTAGGATTTTGGTGTAAATGTTACTGTTTGTGATAAAATTTTTGTTTACTATTTACATTATTCTGTTTTGACTCCTGAATACCTGAGCTATTGGTAAGCTGTATGAACTGGAGCATTCTTTAGACTCCCTTCAATTGAGTGAGTTCTGGAAAGCATCAAATAAAACTCTGGACGGGAGCCAAGAAAATGTCTGAGTTTAAGATAAGATCTAAGCCTGTAATTAAGAGATTGTCTTCAGTTACCCAGACAGCTCCTCAATTTTAGATGTAGTTGAGTGTGCTTTGGATTGGCCATATGTACCTTAAAGGAACTAATCTAGATTGGTCATTGTTTTAATTTGTGAGTTTTTAATCTATCTATTTATTTATTGCCTACTTGCTGCTCATCTCAGTTGATATTAATCCTTTATAAAAGGCTTTGCTTTTCTTGAAGTCAGACACACTTGGTGGAACTTCAGTCTTGAGCTCTTTCATTGTATTTCTGCTATTGTAGCTTATTGCTATGGGATGAGGGTGTTTTTGGTATCTATAGCTGAACTATGAGTCGGGGCCGACTCGACGGCACATAACAACAACAACAACATAGCTGAACTAAGGCCATTTGCAGGTTCACTTTGTCACACTCCTGGCTCCTGTAACCATGGTGAAATCCCTTTAGAGCCCGTAAGTTGTAAGTGAACAAGAAATCACTGCTTTCCACCCAGTTACTGAATTAACAGTGCAATGACACATTATTGTGTAGTTCAACATGAATTGAGTCCCAGTCAACACTCCTTCAGGAATGGTAAAGTGAACACTCTTAGGCAATAGCCAGATGTTAGTATTATTCTCCATTTAATGACTACAACTATTATGATTTAGGTTAGAGACTCAGGAAACTTATACCAGTAGAAGAAAATTTGGACTAAAGTATGGGAAGGGACAGTTCCTTTAGTTTTATCAACTACAGACCTTCAGGAAAACTCATCTCAATTGTCAGCATTTGAAATAATTTTTCCTGAAATTGGCACTTCTCTTTCCTTCTCTTCCTGTATCCTGATTTGGTTGGCCTTATTTCCTTCATGGAGAAAATGGCAGCCTCAATAAGGCAATCCTGGGAGCAATGAGATAATTACCAAAAAAAAAAAAAAAAAAGCCCAGCATGTAGACACCTCACACAGGGACTAAAACCATGCCCTATCACCTACCTTTGTACTCTTGGGTCTCACCAGCTCACTGGATAACAGCTATCACTCTGAAATTTTACAAATCTTAGTTTGAATGATTTTGTGCCCTACCTGATATATACGGGCTTGGAGTATTTCCAAACAGATGAATCTTGTCTAACTCAAATAATGACAATAACTGAACTGAAATGGTTAATGACTACTTCAGGCTGGTATGTCACAGCTTTCCTGTGTATTTGTTAATTAAGCTTTTTAGCTTGCTTTCTCTCTTGATAATACCTGCTTCATCTTGCTTGTCACTGTAAATGGAAGAGAACACTCACTGGGTAATTGGCTCCTATCTTTGCTGACATCTCTCTTAGCCACTCTTACCCATCATTGTACTATCACCACCTTGTCATTTTTCCACAGAGGAATATTTATCCACTACCCCACCCCACCCTACCTCCACCCCAGAATCTTTCTTAGTCAAGAGGAAAGGATGCTAAATAAACGTCTGAGTAAACTAGTGTTGCTAGTTGGAACAGGTATGTTGAAATTATTCTTTCCCTTCACTCTCTGGACATAGCATCATTAGGTGAACCTTCATCTTCCAGGCTACATGTCTCTTGTGTCTCTGATACCCTTTGGATCCTGTCTCTGTAAGATCAGAATTTGTTATTCTAGCTGAGTTTTATCTGATACACTGAAAATAAAAGTGAATCAAGGTTGCTTTGCAGTTTCTTCCGTGGCTTTGAATAAAATTGACAGGCAGCCTAGCAGGGAAAGTACCTTCCGATCCTTTCTAGCTAAGATAATGTTTACCTAATACTCACTGGTGAAAAGGAATGAAATCTAAAAGATAAGGACGTTGTTTCCTTTGTTCTAAACACCACCAGTGAGTGCCTTTTTTCAAAGTTTTTTATTGAATTTAGCATATCTGATAAAACTGCTATTTCCTTTTCTAGTGTGTTTTTTTCTATATTGCCATTGAGTGCCAGCCAGGTTCATAAAGAATTCCATCTCTTTCAAGCTTGGATTATAAACTTGGCCAGAAGGGAAAGGGTGGTGGGGAGGAAAGAAGGGGTGGACCCATCAAGAAAACTATAAAACCCGATCAGAACATTTGGACAAATAAAATATTTTGCAGTGTTCCTTCCATGGTATTTGTGTTTAACCTTTCCTTCCTCTCCTTACAAAGGGATTTTATTTGTGTTCAGTTTCTGTCTTCCTTTTTATTCAGGAGTAAGCTCCAAACAGGTAAATCTTGTTTGACTCCATGTAATAGCTTATCCTCTAGGACATGGCTTTCAATGTTGGCTGGACATTAGAATCACCTGGGGAAGCTTTTCAAAATCCTGGTGCCCAGGCTACACCCCAGAATAATTAGTCTCTACGGATGAAACACAGTCATTTCTAAAGCCTCCCTTACTTAGGTGATTGATTCATTTGTGTGTCTAAGGTTGAAAACCATAGTTAATGGAACATGATTGAAGTAGTTATCAGTGCTCTTAGAAAGTTTGAATCTTAGTTTAAGAAACTCTAGGATTTTATGTAGGAAAATTGAAATAAAAAATCTTCCATAATCAGCCTTCCTTTACAAACTTCTTTGCCACAGGGTTGTTTTTTTTTTTAAGCACATATCTATAATGTGCTCCAGCCTAATTGGACTACTCGTTCTTCCTGATCATACTTCATACTGCCTTTGTTTTTATTATCTGAGAAATCCCCTTCCCCCCAATTTTGCTTTTTCTCTGCCACTCTTTTGGCTTGAACACTGCTTCTTGGGAAACTTTTCTTCATTATCCTTCAGCCAGGAGGCTCTTTTCCCTCAGAACCTCCCTTTTTTGCTTTGGTATATTCTGTATGATTTTGCATTCATGTTTTATTTCTCTAGCCAGTTGGTAAAACCTGGGTCTTATTTGTATATATATTCTTCTCATTGCCTGACATCTTTACATTCCCCATAATGCTTTGTATACAGTAAATACTATATAAATGTTTGAATCTTTATGACATTCATTGCAGTCCTCACAATGTAAGAGCACTCTTCCCATTTGTTTCTGTGTTTACTATTTCCTTTCATCCTTCTTTCCTATCCTGTGTAGTATCTTTTCTGTTTGGTTTCATACTTGTCTAGGTATTCAAATTCTTGGTTGTGATGACTTTTTTGTTTGTTTAAGCATGATTTCCATTCTATGTTCAGTCATCACATAGTCTTCAGGAACCAGATTCTAGAAATGTGGGCTCTTTGTGATTTTGTGTGCTCTGTAGTTCAGTGCAGAATGTCTTTGTTAATGCCAGTTAGGAAGCCTTTGCTCATGTCATTTTCTGCCATGGTGGAAATAAATTTTTGTCATAGGTCTCACTATTTTTCAATATAAATTTTTTTATTTTAACTTCTGTCATCCCTGTTTTATATGCTGTTTATCATTCATTGAGATGACAAATAAATCCTCTTTCCCAAATCTACCAATAAATGACAGACAATAATGACAGATAGTATTTTGTAGAGTGGATTAGGCGTTTGGTGATTGAAAGAGGAGTTTGAAATGTATAGTGTATGACAATGAGGAAAGAAGTGAATGTGGAACTATAAGCCCCTCCCCCTAAAAAAAGAGTCTATTTTGATGTTTAAACAGGGTAATTAGTTGTATATAAAGTATATGTTTTACGTTTCTTGCATGTCAGCTATTTTCTGTTTCTGTTCTTCCTTAATGCTTTTGTTCTAGAAGACTGACTTCAACATGACTTAGATCAGAGCTCTGAGAAAAAAAGTGCAAGAGTAAAACCATGTGGAATTATTTTCCTTTCAGCCAGCTAAATCATTTAGTCTAATTCTCCAGTACTTCTTGTTGTTATGTGCCGTCAAGTCGGACCTGACTCATAGCGACCCCTCCTTGGGTTTCCAAGGCAGTATCACTACGGAAGTAGATTGCCCAACCTTCCTTCCAAGGAGAGGCTAGTGGGTTTGAACTGCCAGCCTTTTGGTAAGCAGTCAAGTGCCCTAGGCACTATGCTACCAGTACTTAGCATCCTTTTAACTTACCTACTTGAAATAAATCAGAGTATTTCACCTGAGTAGTAGTGAAGGTGAGAAAGATTTGAAGCATTACATTCCTGTCCACTTCTTCTCCAGGTAGGATATCTTTCTGCCCTAGCTATTTTCTTTCTCAGGAAAATTTTAACCTCTAAAAATAATTTTATACCACCTATAATTTTTGAAGCTTGAAGTTGCAGCTTAGTACTGATTTGGTTCCCACCATCTCAGTGGGGCAACAGGTTTGGTAGATCAAAGCACGCATTAGTTTTTCTTTCTTTTTTTTTTTCCTTCCCTTAAATTTTCTTTTAAAGAAAAGTAAAATATATTCAGTATACATTATTGCTTAGGTCTAGCTTCTTGGAATATGCAAACCTTTACATCCTGTTTGAGTTTGTGCCTAAATAGTCCAGTAGAAAGATTGGATCTGGAACATCCCTAAGATGTCCCAGCTCCATCTTATTTCCAAGTGCTCTGCTCAGAACTCCCACACTGTCACTACCACCACTTGATCCCCCAAGACATATTTCTTTTCAATCTAGAATTTCTTTAGGCTTTGGGAGACAAGTTGAATAGCATATATTTCCAGCAACTGGTAGAGCAATTTACAGATTCTGTATGGCCATCCAGTACTTAGCTAAATGAACTCTACCTCTCTCTCCTCTCTCTCCTTTCTCTCTTTCAGCTTGGCAGTGACCTTGGCGGGGGCATTGGAGGAAGTCCGGCAGTAAGTGCCATCTGTTTTTTTCACCATGGGAAACACTGCCCCCTATTTGATGCCTTTCCTATGTGCACATTCTCAGACCAGCCACTGCTGCTATCTAGCACTGCACACCAAAACCTCTCTAGCAGTATATGAATAGTAGAAAGTAACATAGGGTTACTTGGAATCTTTGCCGTATTTAGTTTAGGGACATCTTTGAGGATTATCATTCTGGTGTCTACAGAGATCTTTGTCTTCCTGGCATTAAAGAGCTAAAGGAAATAGACGCTCCTATCTTGACTGGAGAATGATCTTATTTCTAGATGGTGTCATCTAGAAAGAAATCAAGAGAGTCAGATGGACTCAGAATGAGGTTCTCCTCATAAATGAGTGAGTTTAGGGGGTGTGAATATCCATCTCCTTCAGGAGAGCTTCCTGTTAGATATTTATGCCTGAATTGGGGAAGTAAGATGTGGCTGGACCCAAGTGGAAATGGAATTGCTATCTAAGTTGGATGTTCCTCCCTCTTCCTGTAGAAGCAAACTTCCCATTTGTTAGGGTACCTGTAGGCCTTTTGCACAGAATCATGGAAGCTAAAATTGGAAACAAACAGACAAACTCTTGAATCCTGTATCCTCTAAGTAATCTCTCTTGATAGAGCTACTAAAGAGTATATACATTTGTGAAGGGTAAAGCCCATTTATTAGTGATGAAAAAACAACTGTGATGATTAAAAAGACAAAAAGAGTTTACCAATTCAACCCCTAACCAAACGAAACCTGTTGTCACTGAGTTTATTCTGACTTATAGCAACCCTATACTCCTAAGAATATTGTAATTATTGTGTTTTCTTACTGATTTATTAATGCTACTAAAATATGTAGGAATAGTCAAAGGACTATTAATCTGTTCTTCCTGATCTCCCCATCCCCTCTTTTTGTTTTTTGCAGGTTGGCCAGTCCTTTATCCCATCATCAGTGCCTGCAACCTTTGCTCCTTCACCTACTCCAGCTGTGGTCAGCAGTGGTCTGAATGACCTTTTTGAACTCTCCACAGGGATAGGCATGGCACCTGGTGGATATGTGGCGCCTAAAGCTGTAAGTAAAGAGATAGCATAACAACACTTTCTTAATGAACATGGCCCAGATTACTTAGGCTTCTAGCATTAGTGTTACTTCCACTGGTAAAAAAAATCCAAAGTTTGGGCCCTTGTTCCAGAGGATTTAAGAGGAGGAAAGGTAGCCTAAAACTTAGCAATAGGAAGCATTATTAACATCCTTGTTAACCATTTTTATTAATTAGACTTAACATTGGAAATGCAAAGTATTTGAATTTTGTTCCCAAGCTTTAGAAATAGTACCTAGTTTGTTATCATTATTAGTTACTGAGTGAAAACCTGGTACACGGCAGAGAAGAAAATCTAAGACGTAACATTTTTACATCTCATTACTTCCATTCCCCTTTTTCCACTGGTATTACACATGGGTTCTAGAGTGCCATTGCTCAAATCTGCTTCATGGATTTTAATGTACCTTTTTGGAGTTCTGGTTTAGGTTTGTGTTATTGGAACTCTTCTAGTCTCAACTTTATTCAGTATGACTC